GTGTGCATTGAATTTATTTAATACACGAGTTTCACAATTTGAGTTGAATTACTGAAATAAATGAACTTTTCCACGACATTCTAATTTATTGAGATGCACCTGTATATATACATATATATATGTATGTATATATATTATCATTATGGTGAAGCCAGTTAAACTTTTGGCAGGGCAAATAAAAAATCGGAACTAGTGGCCAGCAGAAAAAAAACCTTATTGTTGAGCCCTGCATGTAACCTTTGTGGCTAAGGCAATCACAGAATGCACTGCGAGTACCCATAGAGCACAAAGTACCCATAGACTTGTTTTTCATTCAATACAATATTTAATTAGATTGTGCAAAATATATTTGCGTAATCTAATTAAATATGGACTATTTCATCAATATTAGTCTATGCCATGCTTTTTAAGCTTTTTGTCTAACAGCAAACAGTTGAAAACAATGTAAAGCTCTGAAGACTAGGTTCCACATCTAGTTTCACATCTATTCCACATTGCAGCATAAATCTATATGATAAAATTCACTTAAAGTTCACCAAAAGTCAAAACAGAACAATCACAAACTCTTCCTTTCCACTGCACAAAGAGCATAAATGAATGCTTAAAAAAACACTAGCAAAATCAGCCTAGCCTACCAAAGCCTACCATCATTGATTATAAATTCTGGTAGGATGCCTACATGTCAAAGGCATGATGGGACTATGGCTGTTCCTCCGAAATACGGTAAGGTAAATATTTCATGACAAACAGCTTGCAGGTCAACCATGGACATGGCCTTAAGCAGGGCATGCCGAAAGAGTGTGGCTTATTGATGTGAAAGGGGTCTCCAGCTATAAATCATAGATGAGGCAGGTAGGGCAGTGGACAGACACAGCTCACAGTTTCAGCATGAATTGATGCAGAGGTTCCAGAGACTGTGCAAACAGGAAGACAGCACACTCTGATAGACACGACTGAGATTATTGGCCTGCAGACCGGAAGAAGATCAGAAGTTTTCTGATGGACCAGCCCTCCAGATTCGGCTAAGAGATGAAACACTTTTTCTTCTCCACTGTCCTATTATAATGTATTATTTTTGCTAAAAATGAATATGCAGGTGGATAATGCTGCCAGGCTTTGGGTGTTTGCGTGGCGGGTGTAATTGCCAGACTGAACCACCTCCTGCTATTGGTAACAACAGCGGGTCACTTTGCTGTTTTTGGCGTGTCAGCAGGCAGCGCTGAATTGAGTATAATGGACTCTGGTTGGTGCCTCATCGGTATTCATTGAAGAAAGTGCATGTCTGTTAAGATGCCTCTGGGTGAGAGACCTTTAAGCGACTGTCTTAAAGCCACTGAATTCTTTAGAGGGCATTCAAGGACACTATGGACTGGCAGATGGAAATTATATTCCTGACTTTCTGTGTCCCCAGAGTACACAAAGCCATGTATATAATTTCCTTCACATCCTTCCTATGTGAATTGCTACACAGTATTGTACTGGAATAAGAAGAAATCAAATAATTCTTCTTAAAACCTATTAATTCTGTGAAATAAGTTGTAATATATATCTGCAGTAATTTGTTTCACTAAGTAGCTTATGATAAAAATGTACTGCATTTTCTGCACTAGTACAATGCAAAATGTGAACAAGAATACAGCATAACAAAGCATATAAAGATTTAATACTGAATCATAAATGAGTAATAAATGCCATAGAGTACAGTAAATGCACCAAAATCAAATTCCCACAGAATTGTCTATTAGCACCACCTAGTGGCTGAACAGAACTGAGGCAATACAGTTTTTTAAAAATAATTCCTGTGTTCACCAACTCACAATAGCACATTTCCTTTTGACTTTCTAAGGGTTTGAGTTATTCAACTCTTAAAGGTTAAAATATTCTATGGATACTATACAAACATAAACCTATGCACTTGTCTTACAATCAAACTCACAAATAAAATTTATAGTTAATAAAGTAAAACAAAAAACTTTATTTTTTATTTTGTTTTTAGGATTTGAGGTTACAGGTTAATCCAAACCTGGAGGGAGTTTGCAACGGAACCGAGAGCACTTACCAAAGACTTTACCCAGGAAGAGTGACTTGACCAGGGTGAACTGCGTGTCTGAGGCTTCAGGCAGCGTGTAGCTGAAGGGAGGATAATGATCCAGCTAAAAGAAAGACACAGAAACTAAATTACATACAAATGTCTGTTGCTGGTGATCAAGTACAAAATGCCCATGCAATTAATATTTCTCTATAGTGGTCAATGGTGCCATCTACTGGCTAAATATTTAATCACTGACCATACAGTCAAAGCACCACGCCATTTACATTTCACTCAGTACAACTGTTACCTCTTAAAAAGAAGAAGTGTTTTGATTTGTAACATTCCAAAAACGTATACATTTTATATAAAGTAGCCTACTATGTAAAACTGATATAAAACATAATTGAAATACAAAACGAAGCATTATAACAATTACTTTAAAGTATACTTTGTAATGTATTTTAATAATAATACTAATATTAATAATATTTTCAGTGTATTTAATAATACATACTGCTTTTAGACATACAATTTACTTTTATTTTGAATATATAGTACAATAAAATGCATAATATAGGTACTTTTATTATTATTATATTATATATATTATATTAACATATATTTTGAACATTTGCTTCCATGTGTTCCAAGTTCAGGGTTCGAACCAGCATTAGATTCGTATTCGTGTATTTTTATATATAGATTCATAAACAGTCACTTTCATTTATACATTTACACTTGTCAAAGCAGCTTAATTAATTGTCATTTTAGTATTATTTACATACCTTTATAATTTTTATTAATATTTTGAATTAGCAATTATTTATAATATTTATATTATTTATGTTTTTGGTTTGTATTTTGATTATTAGTTGTTTTTTTGTCATTTTGTTATGTACTTTTGTATGTATTTTTATTTGTTTATTTTTTAATGTTACTATTTATTTTTATTTTTATTTCTGTTTCAGTTTTAGAGTTAGTTCAGATTTATTTATTTATTTATTTTCAGTTAAGAATTTCAGTGCTTCAAGTTTTTATCTAATATTTATATTTTATTTTGTTTCAGCTTTATTTCAATTAGCAAAAAAATTCTAATCGTTTTAGGTTTCGTGAACGCTAACCCTAACCCTGGCTTGATATTATTTTTTAAATATTATTCTTTTTTTTAGTCCAAAGATCATGTTGATATGCAGTAAGGCGGCAACTGTTGAATGCAACCACACACACACACACACACACACACACACACACATTTGGTGACAGCTTTAATTACCCCGTTACTGCTGATTCACTGGCACTCCTAATTAGCATGAGGCATCTCAGCCTCGGTATTAAAAAGAATTATTTCCGCTAAATTACTTTTTTGTGCTTGAAGATACGGCGGCTCTCTCAGTCTCTGTGTTGTGAAAGTGGCGCTCTCATCACTGCGCACTGCCGTGAATACAAATTAACTTCACAGAAAGAAATGGAGACTCCAACACAATAGCGTTTGTCTGACATACTTCAGCTCTAATTTGTTCCACTGATGTGGCGGACTGATAAATGCAAGCGTGTTTATTCAGATGCCTCCCAAGTGCGCTTTTGCCGAGTAAATCAAGCAGGGGAAGCCCTCCCTCACCGCTACCAGCAGTCTCCAGACTTTATCCAATTACATTGCCGAATCTCAGAAGACCTCGTGGGCTTGTGTTTCTGCCGCTACTAATGGAGGAGGGTGTGTTGCCATTCGTCGACGGGATAATGTGACCAAATTAAATTGCTTTCAACCTGTTTACCTCTGAAACTAATGGGCAGGAGGGATGGAGGGATGACACAGAGAGAGAGGAACTGTCCCTCTTGGTGCTGCAGCCTCATTCTGACGCGGCTAGCGCTAATGAGCACTGCTGTGAGCCTATAATTAATCTCCATCCAACAAGCCTTCTATCTGACAGGGCCCCTCCTGCACTCCGGCCACCCAGAGAGGGGACACTCTGCCTGGGAGGTGATAGCCAGATCTCCCTGGGGCATCCGTTGCTCTGACAGCACAAGCTGAGTTATAGTTGCAACCCCACTGAGAGAATAATTTAGAAAGTTACAGCAAATAAATACAGGAGATAGAAGAAAAAGGAATACAAAGATGGAAAAGAGAGTGGGAGTTAATAGCCATGAGTCGTTCTAAGAAATTAGTTTTGGAAAGGTGCATTTTTAGGTACATTTGAAACATTTCAATCACTGCTGTTATAATTATATTACAATCAACCAAATGAACAACAACAAAAAAGACAATTAAAAAAGAAAAATTAAACCGTAAACCCTGTTTGTTTCTCTCCTGAAAACAAGAGAACTAAACAATAAACAATAAATGATATCTCTGTCATGACAACTCTCGGAGGGATTGGCATGGTAATGTACATGACAATGTTAATGTATTTAGTCTTGGCAGAATAGATCTGCTACGCTGCTGCTGCTGCTGCTGAGTACCAAGACTTGCTACTTGCCAATACATCCACAACATGCTGCTGTGAGCATGTAAGAAATATTGCTGCTGCAAATATAACATACATGAAGAGGAAAAAAAATTAATTTAAATGATTTTAGCAAATGGCTGCAATATAACAAAGAGTGAAAAATTGAAGGGGGTCTGAATACTTTCCGTACCCACTGTACATCCACAACATGCTGCTGTAAGCATGTAAGAAATACTGCTGCTGCACATATAACACATATGAATAAACCCCTTATAGCATAGCCTACATGAATCACCTCATAGCAGATCTGTACAGGTGGAGCTGGGGAAGGTGGACAAAACACAAAACAAATGATTATCAATATGTTTAAAAAACATAGTAGGTTTTCTATAATTATTCATAACTGCCAATTTTACAGAAATGATGTTTACAGAATAATGTTTTAGTGGAAAAATATTAGTAATTTTCACTTAGTTTTTTCACTAATCTCATAGTTTTGGTTAGAATACATCACATCAGGTCAGATGGAGGTCATCGGGTCATCAGATCTGAGGTATTTTAACACATCCAAAGCTCAAATGGGATACAAAAATTCCACATATTGGAACTCTACACAGCTGCTGTACTACTCTCCAGTGGAAATGAATGATTTCTGGTCTGTTGCTTGTCGGAGATGGTGAAAAGGTGGCTTAATGCACTGATAAAAACATAGTGCAAGGTCCACCACATTACTTTGATAGACAGTTGACCTGATAGTGGGAACCCCAAAAGCATTCATTAATCTAAATGAATAATACATCCCTAAATGAAAGAGCACTCTGCTGTTTGCCTTTGGGTTTAAAAAAAATATTCAAAAACGTCTAAAAGATCAAGAACATCTGTTTGCTTTTCCCACATGGTTGTTCTCTTAGTTATGTTTTGACCTTTCACTGTCTGATTCAAAAAGGGTGTGATGTTTCATTCAAAAGAAATATCACAGGTGTGGGTGTCTGGAAAGGTCAGCTGGACTGATGTTACTGTCTCTCATCTCATACTCCTTTTGAAGCAAGCTCTTTTCTCTTCTGGAAAATGCACAGGTGGGCAAAACCCGCATCACGGAAATCTAAAATGCAAAATCAGAATCTGATTCCCCAATAATTCCCCAATAATTTATCACAATCTTTGACTGTTTTGGTGAATAAATACTCTGTGTGATCAGGTCTGTAATAGAATATTTATTTTTATTATCTTAAATATAATTTAAAACTGTAATGTAAACAATATAATTTCAATTAGAACTTTAAGTAAGCATATTTAATATAATATGTAATAATAATATAACTTTATTTTCCACATATTTCATTGTCCATCCCGGAATTATGACAGTGGATAAATGCAAGGATGAGTGTTGCTGATCAACCTGTGACGTATCATTTACAGTATGAGAGGTTCCAGGTTCTAATTTTTGATTTCAATAAACCAAAATTGCATCTGTTGTGCATCTGCATAAGCAGATATATATCAGGAGTGGGGATGCAAACAAATTTTGTTTTGTAATTCACTAGAATGAATAGCGAGCTGTGGAGAAGTGATAGATTAAAATGCGTCATGCTGGAGAGAACACTGTCATGGCCACTTTCTACTTATGAAAAACAACATGACCAATCAGCATAAAGAAATCACAAGTTCCAGTGGCAGATCATCATTCATTATAAAGCATGTTAATGAGATGAAAACTTGCGTTTGACAAATGGAGATGTTTCTTCTGTATTAGATACAACCCTGCCACAAGCTATTTCATAAAGTGGAAGGGACAAAATTGGCCCTACTGTCCCTGCCTTTAAATGATGTCTATTGAATAGTAGTATCCTGCAGTGTATTTTAGTTCATTGAGATACTAATTATAGTTTTTATCAATATTTTGAATCAGTTTTTATTTATATTTTATATTTTATTTATATTATATTATTTATATTTTTCTGTTTTAATTCTCATTTTAAAAGCTTTAGTAATTTAGTTTTTTTTTTTCATTTTTAGTATTTGGGGTCAGTGAGAATTTTTAAAAAAATAATTTAATATTTTTATTCAGCATTTATGCATTATCGTTGATCAAAAAGACAGTTTAAACCATTAATAATGTTACAAAAGATTTCTGTTTCAAATAAATGCTGTTCTTTGGAACTTTCTATTCCTCAAAGAATGCTGAAAAAAATGTATCATGGTTTCCACAAAAATATTAAGCAGCACAGCTGTTTTCAACACTGAGAATAATAAGAAATGTGATATTTATAATATTTCACAATATTACAGTTTTTTTAATATATTTTGTTTAATCAAATAAATGCAGCCTTGGTGAGCATAAGCGACTTTTTAAAACAAAAAAACAAAACAAAACTAAAAAAATCTTACGACCCCCAAATTCTTGAAAGTTATATACAGTACATATATCTAAATTTACATGTCTACGTGATCTACCTTAGGAGTACCTGCTTGATTGCCATGCAGTGTGTGTGTGTGTGTGTGTGTGTGTGTGTGTGTGTGTGTGTCTGGGTGAGTAGTGCTAAAGGACACTCAACACAGTTTTACACACAACAAAATAAAGGAGAGTTACCCCAGTGTCATAAACACACACAGACACACACACACACCCAAACCCCTCACACACATAGGTCATTGTCTGAAGGATGGCTCTGGGTTTCTATTTGCTGCAATGTCAGCGGGGTTCCTAGGGGCCATAAAGACAGGGTAAAAGGGCTATGGTTTTCGCTTTCTATCTCTATATATTTCACCCCATGCCAGATTTCCAGCTCTGGCCTATAGGATCCTGGGCTTGGCAGAGCTGTGTTGCAAGAAATGAAATAAGGCAGAATTAAAGAGAGCTACAGCCCTTTTTTAAGCCTTATGCCCACAGGCTTATCTGTGCTGTGCCTCATCCATCCAGACAGCGGGAATTTGATTATTTGATTTAGGAGCCCGGAACAGAGCAAGAGCCAAAGACACAGACTGACCAGAAAGAGAGAGAGAGGGAAAAGCAACAAGACAACAAAGCCCACAAATTTGCTGACAAGGTCACAGTATATCTGACATGATCTTTGCACCTCTGTCATTCAATATTATTCTCTTGGGACATGTGTTACAGCGATGGTGTAGGGCGAGGAGGGTCCCGGCCAGCACATACAAGCCTTTGACATAGTTTTGAAAGTCCCTGACCCATCTGTAGTTAGTTTTCATCACCTGTCCTCAAATACAACTTGTTATTACCACACTTTTCACTGATCCTGGGTGGTAGAGCTCATGCTTCTGTGATCTTGATCACTGCTTTATCGTTTCATGTTGCTGAATGCCCTGCTTATCGACCACACGAGATGCTGTGTGTCCTGCCATTTAGGACATTAGAAAATCTACAGTTCACCCTGAGTCTCAGTTCAGAGATCAATATGGGCTTTCAATTATCCTGCTTCCGTACTGCAGCTGGGCCTGTGAGACTAAAGCAGTGCATCCTGGGTAACAGACACGGCACACATCCACTCACATACTCACATTTTTCACACATTCTGTACATTCTGTTACGAAACAAAGAAAGCTGCCTTTGTATCTTGAAAAATACTTGCTTTTGACTAAAATTGAAGGCAGCATCACATGTAACTTTCATGGATCAAAATGCAATGATGGCAGTATGGAGCTATATATGGAGCTAAATGTTATATTTAACTTGTTTTTTTTATTAAATATATAGTACTCTATTGTTAATGTATTATTTTTATTTAGTTTAATTAATTGAATACAGAAAAGTATATAATTTCTTGATATAGTTCCTAATTCAAAATGGGCACTCTTACATAATATATGTATATACACTACCATTCAAAAGTTTGGGATCAGTACGATTTTTAATGTTTTTAGTCTCTTTTGCTCATCAAGGCTGTATTTATTCGATCAAAAATACAGAAAAAACAGTAACATTGTGAAGTATTATTGCAATTTCTAATATTGTTTTCCTATTTTAATATACTTTAAAATATAATTTATTTCTGTGACAGTGCTGAATATTCATCAGCCATTACTCTAGTCTTCAGTGTCACATGATCCTTCAGAAATCATTCTAATATGCTGATTTAT